TAAAATTTGTTTGGACTCATAAACTTTTGTTTGGATTCATAAAGTCAAGTAGAACCTTAACACATAACATAAATTGTTATTTTCAAAACCATTTCTTTTAAATTTTTTTAAATTTCATTTTATAGTAAAATTTAACTTTATCTTTAAATTACCCCCAAAAACTATACTATTCATCTTTGTAGTTTTACAATCATGATTTTTATAATCCATATATTTATTTATTTCCATTCATTTTGCATAAAGAATTTTCTGTTTGTTAGACTTTTTATAATTTTAACCAATTTTGGCTAGATTTTATTATGGCGGCAATTTTTCACCACAACCGAAAACAACAACTTGATTTTTATAATATTAAGTCTCTCCAAAAGTAAGTAATTTTGAAGAATCTGGAAGGTGCTCTTGAATCTATAGCTCCCCTTTAATCCCTCCAAGGGGAGTTGGAGGATTAACAATATTCTCATTAATCTTTCCAAATCCCCTATAAACCCTTCGAAGTCCCGATAATCTCCCTCTATTCAGCTTTATCACCTCTCCTCCAATCCCGGCATATCGATATTTAATACCCTTAAACTTCATTTCAATATTTAATCCCTTAATCCTCTTCAATCCCAAGGTATGGGCATTGATGAACGACCTCAAATTTTCGATAAATTTCAATGAAAAGTGTAAAAAAACTTTTTTAATATTTTTGTACTTTTAATAAATCCGGAGTTTGATCTGGACCTAAAAAATCCAGATTTTAATCTGTAAAATCCAATACGGATATACAAATTTGAAAATTTAATTTTTAAAACTTATTTAAAAATAAATAAATTAATTAATTTAAATAGTATATTAAAATACACATCAAACATAAATTTCTTTTTATTTTTGCCCTTAAAAAAATTTTTTGCATTAACAAATTAGACTGATATTAGTGTAGAGAAAGAACGAGTTTCTTTGCCCTTTCATGAAAAAAAATCATCAAAAATCTACGATCACTTTGCCTTGTCTAAACCTGATGTAATTCTGCAGTGTATATCAATGAAGATACATCTCACGGAAAATGCTTGGATATTTTGCCGAATAGATTTTGAAATTTCTCAAAATTTATACAAGTATTGAGAATTCTGAATGTGAAAATAGGTGATAATTTATCTATACATGGCTGCCTGTATCATGATATTCTTTTCCTTACAAACAGTTCGAAGGGAGTTCAGTTCAAAAGGATGTATAAATCTAGAATCCTTTCATTTTGAATGCCGCAAGTAGTGTTGGGGGCCCTGCCCGGTCCGAAAGAACGAGTCGGGCATCGAATTTTGGTCTAAAAAAGACTCGGTCGGGCCGGCCTTAAAACCCTAACCCTAGCCAAAGCGAATGTAACTCAGAGTTAGATTAGGAACGGATTTTTTATTTGATAAAGTTCGTTTAATATCAGGGAATTTTTAAATTTTTTAATACTTAACAAAAGCTTCTACCAAGCATCCTGTACATTGTCAAATTGCTATAAAATTAACAATTAAAAAACAAAATTAAAAAAATTTTCGGAAAAGCAATTTAGGTGAAATGCCCTCCTACCTCATTTTTTTGCAATGGAGGGAGTGAGAGAAGCAAAATTTGCCTTTAAAAATAAGTAAAGATTATTAATGGAATCACTTTAATTAAAAATTAAAAAAAAACTTTAAAGCAAAATATTGCAATGTTCAAACAAAAATTCAATGCAATTGTTATTTTATTTTTCCTTTTAAAAAATTATTCTGAAGGAGGAGGACCGAGAGAAGAAGGCTCTTCATCTTTCCCAGAGTTAACTTTAGGCTCTCCTACAATATTTTATTGTGAATGGGACAATTGTGGACAAAGTTTTGTTGATGAAAATACTTTTGTGAAACATGTCGAACAGCATGGAATAATGGAACAGGTTATTATTGACTCTATTGATGTTGTGCCAAAAGTCAATTTCTAAGTACTCTAACCCTAGACCCAAACAAATTTCAATTTAAGAAGAAAAATTTATATGAAGGTTTTAAAAAAGCCGCTGCTTGGAAGCCAATAGCTTTATAACGATAGTATTGTCCCCATCACTGTCATTATCTGTTACGACCGGAGGTGTCCGAGATTTGTCTGATGTTGACGTGCACAAGAATTACAATTTATCCGGCGTAGAAATAAACAATGTAGGCGAAGGTTAAAGGGTTGGAACAGACGACGGGAATCAGGGACTAGCCGCACTAGTATGACTAGCCGCTTTTTGTTGTATTTTTTGTTGCCTATCACTTTTAAAGCTCAACTTTGGGTTTTAAACGCCTGTGTCAGGATTGGTAATGGATATGGATTAGATAAGTTAAAAATGCCTGCGTATATCCGTCTGTATCCGCTGTAAATATCCGTATCCGCTGTAAATACCAAAATCCATGTCCATTACCAAGTCTGGTTTGTGTTCAATTTATTTTTATAAGCATTGTCAATGTCGCTGGCTAGGCTGTGAAAGAAACGACGCGGCTTTTTGTACAAAACAAAATTTATCACAACATCTTAAAATACATACTGGAGAAAAGTCTTTTGTTTGCGAGGTACTAGCTTCAAAAAAATTTTTCAGATTTTCTAAAATATTTCCTAGTATGTTAATCAAGATGGTATTCGTTGTGGTAAAAGATTTGCTCGGCGGGACAATCATGCCAGACATCAACTTACTCATACAGTAGATAGAATTATGCATCAATGTGCTTATTGTGAAAGAGTAAATAATTATATTTTTTTAATGAAATTCTTTTTATTGAGGATCAGGGGAAATGGCTATTAAGCAGTACCAAAGGCTAGGGATAACGGGAGTGGGGACGGTATTCTAAAAACAATATAGTAGGAGCAGTGATGCGAGTGTTCCGGTTCTGGTTCCAAAATTGAAACCGAGGAATCCCGGTCCCGATCTCGGCTCGGGATTGAACAAAACCGGGATCGGGATTTAAAAAAATCGGGATAATCCCGCCCGATCCCACTCAACCCTAGTTCCCATTCACTGTCAACTGATTCGCCAATATTGTTTTTGGATTCTAATACACCATGAATATTGTTTATTTTAACGGGAACAGCTACTAAATGAAGATTAAATTCAAAATTTTCTAGAGTTATATAAATTCCTGGGACAAAGTTAGTCATGAAAAAATACATAAAGATGAAAACAGTTATGGATGTCCAGTATTTATATGTTCAGAGCCATTTAAATCTCTTGGTTCACTAAAATATCATGTTCGTTCAAAACATGGAGAAGCCGTTTGGAATTTTATTATAAAAAATAAAAAAGCTAAAAAAGCAAAAAATTATGGGTTAATTGGAATTGATGAAGACGGAACTCCTTACGCGTTAGAGTTTGTTTTGAAATAAAAAAGGTAGTAAAGGATAAATTACTTTTCAGAATGAATGATGGCGCTGGTAGTAGTAATGCGGAAGGTATAGACTTGGATTTGCACCTTTAGTTTTTTACTCGGAAATGTGATCCACAATAGAGTTGGTCTATGGAATATCTTCAAAAAATTAGAAAAAAATGAGTTGATATTTTAATTCTTCAATCTTTCATTTTATAGTAAAATTTAACTTTATATCTTTATTTTCGGCCCCTAAAAGTTTAGTAGCTTGTTAGAGCCCTGATTTTTATAAAATACTAAACAATCTATTTATTTGTTTTAATGGTACATCTCGGTTATCTCTCACCATTTTCCTCTTTACCAAATAACCTTTTTTAGGCTTGATCCAATCGAATGAATCTCATATCAGTCAAAAGTTATCTTTTACCCAACTGAATGGATCAATTTCGATCACTCTGAAAATGTTACAAGTCGATAATTGTGAAAAACAACGCTTCTTGGACTTAACGACTTGAAACTGTTTTCAAGAGTAATCAGAATTGATCCATCCATTTGAGTAAAAGATAGTATCGAGGGCTTATGATTGATATGAGTTTCATTAGGATTGGATCAAGCATACAAAAGTTATAGCCGATCAAGTTCGTTAAAGGAAAAATGGTGGGGGATAACAGAAAAGTACCGTTTCATTCATTTGTATTCATTTTGCACTTAAACCCAAAATTGAAAAAATTCCTAGATTGTCTGGCAAACCCAAAATTGAAAAATTCCAAAGCTGTTATTCTTTAAATTTGTTTCTCCTTAAAATCTGTAATTCTGATAAAGCTGTTATTTGAATTTTTTACATTGAATTTCATTGAATTTTTTCACAAAAATCCCTACGGGAAATTGGAAACATAAAAAATATGCAAATAAAAGTAATCTTTTTTGATCCTTTTACTTATTTACTGGAAAATAGTTCAAGATTAATAGGAGAAAATCAACACTATTCGATTAAAGTAAAATAATTTACAAAATTATTCATATAATTCAATGATTTACTTGAAAATACGACCATAGTTAACCGAAAAATTACAATATCGGTAAACTAACATTTTATTACATACGATTTATAATAGAAAAATTATAGTGGCCACCTTAGTTAAATTCCAAGATGGATAATTCATAGTAAATAATAGTGATGTTCGAGACTCTCGGTCTCGACTCTCGAGTCGAGAAATTTCTCGGGTTTTTTGAGCTCTTGGTAACGGTGTTTTGGTCTCGAAAAACGATACTAAATTTACACCTCTAATGACGGAAATTTTTTCAACTTTACTCGGACCTTGTTACTTTGATATTAAATTTTTTAAGGAAAAGTCTCCAAAATTCTCAAAATTTTCGCCTGCGGCGCCAAAAATGGAGCATAAATTTTAATATAATAAGATTAAAAAGTATTGAGAGGGATACTGTGGATTCTGAAGGTTTTTTTGAAGGATTAAGAGAGACATCAAGTGATAATCTCTCGGTCTCAACTGTCGTTTTGGTCTCGGTATCGGGGTTGATTCTCGGTCTCGACTCTCGGCTTTTTTTGACTCTCAAACATCACTAGTAAATAAAACAAATTAAATCCACTAAATAGTTTAATAGAATAGAATATTTAAAATGAATAATAAAATATTTATTTTTTCAATGCCCTTCTCCATTTATTTTCAAAACCATACGTCCTTTGAAAAGGTAAGTAAGATATGAATTTTTAGCCAACTGGTATTCCTCATCAAAAAACACTGCAGCAGTTGAAGTTTTAATAAATTCATAGGCAGCCATCTCCACAGCAATCCAATCTTCCTCGTCATTTGTTTTTTCTGCCTTAGCGATTTCATTTTTTAATTTAAGCTTTGCTTCGTACAAGGTTGAATTTACAATGTCGAACAAGGAATCGAGATCATTTGAGAATGTTTCAGTCTGGTCATATACTTTACCGACATAAACAATAGTTGGCCAATCCAGACTTCCAGGTATTAGCTCCTTTGCAATTTTATCAAATTTATCCGAGATGTTTTCAAGTGTTCGTCGAATGGCTGTAGTTTTAGCAATAGGCATATTTGGATTATCTTTGACTTCGTCAATAAATTTTGATTTGCAGCCAACTATTTCGTGTTCGAAACTATTCTTCTTTGGAGTGGGTATTTGCGACCAGCATTGAATAACTTGCCTAAAATGGATTCTAAATCATCTATAACTTAATGCTGTCTTAAAAATTTTCACATGAATCAAAACCGAAAAATCATTGGAATATCGAAATTGTTGAATAATGGAAATATGTACTAGAACTTTGAAAACTTTTCAGTTCAAAGCCTATAAGTTATTGGTTTTGTCCCGATTTAGTTGTTTTAGGATATTCAAAACTAAAAACTATTTATTTACTTATCACACAAGCAATGTTCGTGTTGACAATAATCATTTTTAAATTTCTCACATTCATTACACTTCCAATTATAGTTGGATGAATTTATTGAGATATAATACATGTTTGTCGGTAAAAAAGCACAATCATTATCGTGAATATTTTTAATTTTTGAAATGCATTTATGGTAGTTTTCACAACACCTTAATTAGATATATGTATGTTTAAAATACAAAAGGATTTAGGGAGTATTATGGTTCTGATGGTTTTCCTAACCACAACTTTCTTACACAAAATTCGAGCTTTTTAAAATTGGACTCATAAGACGAATTAGATTTATAAACATACTGGTTTAAATCTAGCATAAATACGTTGCCACAACTAAAATATTAAAATATATTAATTTATAGGGTACTTTCCTGTTATCGGTCCACATATTTAGTTTTCCCCCATTTTATTTTTTCTTAATATGTACAGAAAGGTCAGACTTCCTCAATTACTCCATCTCTCTGTAGCAACATTATGGTAATAGTTTGGAAGTCGCCCTTCCCTTTTTTCACGTTTCACTGACCATTTTGTGCTTTTTTTGATTGATATATAATTTATTACATATCATGCGAAAGAGCTCTTCGAGCTGGGTCGAAAAATACCATGTTCGGTTAGATTTGATCAAAATTATGAAGCTAAATCCTCGCTAAAAAGGCTTTTTCCTGCTGCAAGGAAGTAATTATGTCTAAACATAAATTTCAAGTAGAGAAGGTCCATTACAGGGATTTAGTTCACAATAAGTTATCTTTCAAATTTGGTTTTTATTATTCTTTTCGTTATTGATATCTCGAAAGAATATGCCTCAGATGGAGTGAAATTTGAGGAGGAATGAAGTCTGACCTTTCTGTAGATACATATGTAGGTATTTAAGAAAAAGGGATAGGAATAAAGAAACTAAAAATGTGGGCCGATAACATGAAAATAACAATTAGTGATTGATGACTTTCATGGATGGATAAAATAAATATCACCCATCTTTCAAATACAACATATTAAGTTTATCCCTCAGGCAGGCATCGTTCCTACAATTCTACCGGCCCCAACTTATCTCAACAAAATTTAACAATTAAACATCCCTTAGACGTGATATATAAATTTTCTATAAACTTACTTGCAGGCGTACTTCTCGATTAATTTTGAATTGTTAAAGAATTTGCACTGATCCTGCAATGAAAATATTTTTAAATATAACACGAACTTAGTGTTTTCTAGCTCCGAGAGATTTTTATAGAAAAATTAATAATCACTTGTTCCCTCCATATCAGCTTATATCCACGTTATCACATCAGATAACTATCAATCTAAATCCTTATATCATAAAATCAAGACTTGCTGACATTTGTACATCTTACATCCCGTCTCAATCAGAGCTGCGTCGAAATAAAAAAATCTTCGAAATTCGGAAATCGAAAATCGAAAGAAATCCAAAAATATCGAAATCGAAAATCGAAATTTTATAAAAAAATTCGAAAATCGGAAATCGAAAATCGGCAGAAAAAAACGTCGAAAATCGAAATTTTATAAAAAAATTCGAAAATCGGAAATCAAAAATCGGCAGAAAAAAACGTCGAAAATCGAAATTTTTTAAAATAACTAAAAGAGTAGTAAGCAATCCGCAATATGGAGATATAAGGGTTAATCTTGAGATATAAGGGAATTCAATGGATTAATGGAAGTCTTAAGAGATATCATTGATCGTAGGGATATACAGGATTAGGGGGTTAACTAGAGACCAAATTTCTAAAATTATCGAAATCGAAATTTTATGAAAAAATTCGAAATTCGAAAATCGAAAGTCGAAAATCGAAATTTCGACGCAGCTCTACTCTCAATGGAACATAATTTATAAGTAAAATTTTTAATTTCGGGGCAATGTTTTTGAAGGACTATACATAAACAAGTTCAAAGCAAAACATCTCTAATTTATCGTAACACCTACAATCGGAGTGAAGGCAGTACTTGTCCTTGGTTTATAAGTCGTCAAAGCAGTGGTCGTTCTTGTTTTCATAGTTATTGGCATTATGCTATTTATTTTTCTTGTCATTCCAAATTCAGGTTTCACAATGCTGACCGTATTTGGTTTTATAATCTTAGCCGTCGTTGTAACTTTTTTCTGAAATATTGAATAAAATTAAGTTCATAAAAGCTTGTTAGATAGAATTGGATAAACTTAGACAGAAAAACTAGATAAACTTAATATCAGATAAAACTTATTAGATAGACTAGTCTTATTAGATGATCTTAGTCTTATTAGATCGATTACATATCACCCCATAACACTTCTCCAGCAGGGGTGTGTAGAGATAAAAGATTAGTAGAATTTTGTATCAGATTTCCAAGATTTATTAGAAATGTATTTCGGATCGAACAGCGACTGGTTATCGAATTTCGGATAGCCCTTCTCATTCCTTCCAGTCCATTTTACCTTTTCCTTCCGACATTTAACAGGAAAATCTCTTCGGTACAACATTCCAAAAGCAATATTTCGATTTATTACCGAAACACCAATACCCAAATCAGCATTTAATGCCAAAACACCCATATATTCTTGTAGATATGCACCGTTAACTATTTCTTGAAAATATTCCTTGTCCACATCGCTTTGCTCTCTTATTTTTGCTAAATTATTAAATTAAAAACAAGATTAAAATAACAAACACCAATATAATTCAGATTTTTGTTAGAAATTGCATGGAGAAAATCAAGCACAGAATATCCTTTTACGTGAAGAGTATCTCTAAAATTGAATTAACCTTATATGTACATTCAATTCGAAAACAGAGGTGTATTTTGTTAAGCTATATCTTAAATTATGTGTCTCACATAGGCTTAGGCAGACATAGGCAGCAGACTTAGGACCAGTGCTTCGAAATTTCAAATTTGCTCGTACTCGTACTTCGTACCATCTCCTTTTTTGGCCTCGTACTCGTACCCAGTGATGCGGAAATTCCAAAATGTGCCCGGTTCTGGAACCGCTTTTTCAATTTTGCCCGGTTCCGGTTCCGGTTCCGGAACCGCTTTTTTAATTTTGGCGGTTCCGGTTCTGGAACCGCTTTTTTAATTTTGCCCGGTTCCGGTTCTGGAACCGGTTCCAAACCGGTTCCGGTTCCAAAAAATTTTGGCTTTACTTCAGTATAGGGATCCAAACTCAAGGTATATATCATTCAATTCGTCTCTTCGAGACGAGTTCAAATATGTAAGAATTTCTTGCGGGAGACGAAAACTTGCAGAACTATAGGCCTCCGAAAATCGAAAAAGGGACCAAACATTTTTTGGGGTGAATCGAAAATTTCGGATGCGGGTCAGGGTGGACGCAATTGAACAACAACAATTAAACGGAAAAGTTGTTTAAACGCCACAGGCGAGAATTTTGTTAAATTTGGAAGGACATTCTTCCATTTCCATTTCTTCCCTTATCTGCGCCGCAGGCGAAAATTTTGAGAATTTTGGAAGATCCTTAAGCCAAAAATCTTCATTTTTTGCGCCGCAGGGGAAAATTTTGGTAAATTTGGAAGTCATAGCACATAGAAATCATCTATTTAAAAATATGATAACTTTTTTGTTAAAGAATAAGTTATAATAATTTATTTTCTCAAAGAAAAACATTGACTTACTCATTCATTAAGTCCGGGTTCGAACCTAATACCCATATAAGTCCTCAAAACAGGGTGGCCCCTTCCAAAACACTAAAATAGGGCGAAGCCACTCAAAAATAGGGCAAAAATAGGGCGAAATCGGCCAAATATAGGGCAAAAATTAGGGCATAGCTTTAAAAGCTTAAACATAATTAAAATTTCAAATAAGGCGAAAATTTTGAGACTTTCTGAAGACCAAGAAGTCAAATTTCTTCCATTTTTAGCGCCGCAGGCGAAAATTTTGAAGATTTTGGAGCTCAAGCAGCCAGATTTCTTCCTTTTTTGCGCCGCAGGCAAAAATTTTGAGGATTTTGGAAGGCCAGGAAGTCAGAAATCCTTCATTTTTACCATTTTTTTACAAAATCCTAAGAATTTTTAAAATTTTACAAAAGGGTAAAAATAGGGCAAAAATATGGCAAATGAGAAAATAGGGAAAAAATAGGGCGAAAAGGTCAAAAATAGGGAAAATCCTCTATAAATAGGGTAAAAGGGCCACCCTGCCTCAAAACTAAGAACACAACACACATCCAGTCAACATTCAGAAAGAAAAGGAAAGAGAATCTTATTAACCCGTTTCAATTTTCTCTTCATTTTCTTCTCACTACTCCCATCTTTTGCCCATTTCTCTGATTTTACCCATCATTAGGGGTGTATCTTTGGAACCGGTTCTGGAACCGGTTCTAAACCGGTTCCGGACCTTTACCGGTTCCACGGTTCCACTTCCGGAACCGGAACCGCACCGGTTCCGGAACCGGAACCGGAACCCCCGCATCACTGCTCGTACCTCGTACCACCCCTATTTTTTGCTCGTACTCGTACCTCGTACTACCCTTATTTTAGGCCTCGTACCTCGTACTCGTACCTCGTACTTACTCGTACTTGAGAATAAATCAAAAAATCTAAAATTTCTATGGTTTTTTTGAGTCCAGGACATCTAGTTTTAAATTTTAAGCGTAGTATGCGATAGTTTTTGAATCTTGGAAGTCAACGAAGCCATAAGTCCTCCAATATAA